GCTTTTGCGTCCCAGTCTTTTGGTGTGCACCCTCTGCTACTTTTGGGGTGGTCCTAGAAGGCCCTTCCCCAAGATTTTGGCTCGACCTTGCGGTCTTTGCCTTTTCTCGCGCGACCTGGCGCTTAGCCCTCCGCCTTTGGGCCCCAGATTTCGGTTTTTCAACCTCATCCGGTTCCTTGGCGGTGGTGCTACCCGCCGCCGGTTTTTCTTTATTATTTCCTGTGTCCATATTGGTCCCACGAGTAAGGAGGAAGTATTGGGGTCGTTCTCCTGCAGTGCCTCATACAGGAGTAAGGCATTTATAACTCTGGGGTGCGCCAGGTTCCCCAGGTGTGGTCGCTAGGAACTGGGCTTCCCCCCAGCCTTGCATCTCATAAGCGCGCACCATACTTTAAGAATTGGGAGAAGTTATAGTGTTCTCACCACGCGGGCCGGGCAATTAAGCCAAGCCCCCCGTGCCCCTCATGATACGTACCCCGCGGTGTTCCGGGGAGGATCCTGCGGGGGTCGTTGTACCAAGAGCGGTTTACGGTTTGTGCCACGAGCTGGTTCGCGACGGGCTTTAGTTCCATGACGCGTGGGTTTTAGACCACGGCACTTCACCTATAGCTCACCGTTGCCAGGTGTCCTGTTTCCAGGATTTACCTGGACTCCTCCTATCCACCACCTGGAGACGCGCCCGGTGGTGGATAGGAGGAGTCCAGGTAAATCCTGCCATGCCATTGTGTCCTTCATGGAGCATGTCGAGTATTTTGTTTCTTAATATATTTGGTATCACCAACCGTAATCCTCTCATAAGGATTCCATTTTCTACGAATAATTCGTTTCTGTTATGAAAAGATGGTTTTATGGTGCCTTCAATGTTGCTTGGCCATTTCTCTTTGATTACATACTCCATGATTTCTTGTAATTGCCTATCCTCTTTAGTGGCTTCTTTGATTTGGATGTTGTTTAAAGGCCATTCCTGCACTTTTGATGTGAAATTCAAAAAACTTTCTTTTCCACTAGGCTGCTGTTCCGTTTTGCTTGGCTTTCTCGAGAAGTAATGGGCTACTGTGTTGTCTTTTCCACTTATATGTTTGATCCTGTAGTTAAATCCTGCCAATATTGCTGCCCATCTTTGGATTCTGTTCTCGTACATCTTTGGGATGCCTTTGTGCTCTCCGAACAGGCTGATGAGTGGTTTGTGGTCACTCCTAATGATGAAAAATCTACCTGCCAAATACTGGTAAAACTTTAAAATGCCGAAATAAATAGCAGTGCTCTCTTTATGCAAGGTACTATATGATTGTTCGGCCCTCGTTAGAGTTCGTGAGGCAAAAGTTATGGGTCTTTCAGTGCCCCCTGGCATTCTATGGGACAACACAGCTGCTACGCCATAATCTGAACTGTCGGTGGTCAAATAGAGAGGTAAGTCTGGATTAAAATGCGTTAGAACCATGTCTGACATTAATATTTCTTTAATTCTTTCAAATGCCACCTGACATTCTTTACTCCACTTGAATTTTACTTCTTTTCTTAGCAAATCGTAAATAGGTCTTAAAATGCTTGCCAAATTTGGTATATATCTTGAATACAAATTTATCATACCTATTAAACTTCGTGTTTCTGTCACGTTTGTGGGTGGGTCTGCTTCGCCAATGGCTTTAATTTTCTCTTCTTCCTTATGAAGTCCATATTTACTTATGCGGTGTCCCAAGTATCGCACTTCCTCTTTGAAAAACTCGCATTTTTCTTTTCTTAGGGTCAGTCCTGCTTCCTTTAGCCTTGTTAGTACTTTTTCCAGTGTTTCCAAGTGTACCTGTTTGTTTGGCCCGGATATTAACAAATCATCCAAATAAATACATAAATTATCCATACCTTGAAAAACTTGTTCTAGATATCGTTGACATGTGCTGCTTCCTGGGGTTATGCCAAACGGCATTCTGTTTATTGTAAAGATTCCCTTGTGCGTGCTTAGCCTTAACAGTTCCTTAGCTTCCTTATCCAGCTCGAACTGTTTGTATGCTTGGTTGAGATCCAGTTTCGTAAAATGCTCCCCATTGCTTAATTTCGCAAAGATTTCCTCGATCAGTGGTGGTGGGTGGTGCTCTTCCTTGAGCCACTTGTTGACTGTCATTCGGTAGTCTCCACACAATCGCAATTTCCCATCAGCTTTGATGACCGTTACTATAGGAGTCGCCCATTCAGTTGTTTCTGTGGGTGTCAGGATGCCATCCTTTACCATAGTATCTAACTGCGCGTCGACCTCCTTGCGGTATGCCAATGGAACAGACCTAGGTTTAATAAAAATTGGTTTAGCATTCTCTTTTAACTCCAGGGAGATTTTTGCATACTTGAATTTACCCAATTTCTCAGAAAAAACTTCAGGAAATTTTTCAATAATTTTATCAATATCATTTTGACATTCAACCTTGTTCATTACTTTAAATTGTACATTAAATCTATCAAGCCAGTTTCGCCCCAAAATGTTAGGTGCTCCCTCTACAATTACATAAAATTTTATTTGTTTACGAACATTTTTAAACACTACAAACACATTAAAATATCCTATCGGAGTAAATACTGATCCATTTTAACATTTTAATATAAGATTATCTTTACATAACACATGATTTTGTTTAAAATACTTTTCAAAACATTCCCACTTAATGGCTGATATTTCTGACCCTGAATCTATCATAAAATTTATGTCTATTTTGTCAATATTTATTATCACATCAAATTTATTTGCATTGTTTGTTTTTGATACATTAAGCAATTGGCTGGGCTTAGTCCCATGCTCCAATGTTTCTTCTGATTCACTCCCACAAGAATAAATATTGTTTTCATACCTGTATTGTCCATTGTTTACATTGTTTACATAGTTACACCCTTTGTTTCTACTACAAACCCTGGCTAAATGACCCGTTTTCTTGCATTTGCTACATTGGTACGTTCTGTATTTGCATGGCTGATGATGCGCGTTGCCACACGAGCTGCAAGCTGTCCGATTGCTTCCAAAACTTCCACTTGGTCCTCTTCTTGCTTGGCTGTATTCACCATTTTGTCTTCTTGCATCGCGCATGGATGACCCTGTCGCCTTATGTTGCGCGGGCACCTCGTGACGCTGCACTCGGTCGCCTCCGTGGTTGCGCGTGCCTTGGACTGGAAGTCGGTGTTGCCGGTTCTTCCACGTTGGCTTACTTGGGTTGAGTAGGTTTACGCCCACTGTTTCTTTTTCGACCTGTTCTTGATTTTCCCGCCTTGCTGCCAGCGTTATCAGCTCTTCTAGGGATTTGGTTACGTTCTCTTCACATAAGCGATCCAGTATTCGTCCTTTTTGCAGTCCGGAGATGAATTTATCCCTTAGGATTTCATTTAAATGGTTTCCAAACTCACAATTTATTGAAAGGCTTCTTATTCTCGCATAGAAGTAGGAGATGCTTTCGTTTTCCTCCTGTCTTGTCTTGTAAAATTTCCGTCGTTCTCTCCACGTATTTACTTGGGGTCCATATTGTTTCGTTAAAAGAGCCGTTAGTTATTCGAATTTTTTTGTTTTCGGTAGGTCCGTACGTAGCAACTTGTAAGTTTCCACTCCTATGACGCTGAGTAGTGTTCCTGTTTTAATTTCTTCTGTGGCTACGGCGTTTGCGGTGAAAAACTGCTCCAATCGTTCTTGGTAGATCACCCAATCGTCTGATTTTCCATTGAATTGTTCGAATTTATTACCGGCTGCCATTTTTGGAACCACGTGGACGCGACGCGAGACTGACCGTTATTCTGCAATATCTTGATCCTTCCTCGTCGCCAGCTGTTATATTCAGATTATTAGGTTCATTAATTCAAGATATTGGTAGTTGACTTCAGGTATCACAGCTATTATTATCGAATTGACTTATTAACATTAGAAAGACGTAGACGTGGTGTAACTTTCTGGTTGACAGTGTATGCTCGACTAACTTTTGTAGTTGTCGTTGCTCGGCTCTGGTGCGATCGTGTGGAGTCTGCGCTGTTTGCTAGCGGTGTTACCGGATATGTCACAGTATATATATATATATATATATATATATATATATATATATATATAAACTCAAAGGGTATACCCTTTGAGTTTTTCTGTACAGATTAACCTGAAGGGTAAATACACGAAAGCAAAGATAATACCTACATCCATATCACGTAAAATATTAAAGATTAAATGATTTGAAACCATATTATTTCAGATTTACATAAGGGAACATTTTTAGAAAGAAAATAAAGGATTGTTGTGGGAATATTCATATTTCTATTGTAAATTATAATACAAAATTATATAAAAAATATTTATTTTCTCTTATAAAACAAAAATAATATGTTACCTAGGTATTATAAAAAAACTGTAAATAATCAAATAAAAAAAAATCTGGTATTGCCACGTTCTTCGTGGAAAACTTCAGGCTGATCCTTCAGAGGATTCCTCGGTTTCTGGTGGTGCTTCGGTAACTTCTGCGGAGGCATCGGCTAACGCTGCATTTGCTGATGCTGCCGAATGTAGTCGGCGCTGGGCTTTTGACAGATAGATTTAATTCTAAATTTGCCTTGTTGTCGCTGCCAAATGATTCGTTATACAGATTCTGTAATCATGTTAACATTAACAATGAGTTAAAACTTAAATTCCAGTTATGTTTTGATCAACTCTTTTCCTCACCACCCTTGAGGTGGAGTCCAAGGCGCGTTTTTTTTAACGTGGTTTCCCCAGTAGGCCTATTCCACGGTCATAAAAATTAAACTTACTGATGCGCCATTGCATGCTAATTTCGGAATTTTTTTCGATAGTTTACATAGGAGCAGCATAATCCCATAGTATAAAAATATTAACAGCATAGCGTACGTTACTCTTGACTTTTTCTCATATTTCCATGAATCAATTTATGCAGGGGACAAAGCATGGGACTTTGTGTTCTATTGAATGTATAAATTGGGATGCACTAAGTTTGTGCTATACCACAAATTCAATGCACCCCAATTCATTATTACAATCAATACATCACCTCCATGGGGGATGTCATTATGGGTGTTCGACAGTAAGGGCACCTAGTACTGGGCGAATCGTCCTCCTCATCCCTACGTTTCCGAAAATGTCTAGCACAAGTTCGGCAAATGCAGTAATGTCTACATTCTCTTAGGATAAACCTTCTACGCTTTCGGAGGCATACCACACACTGCCATTTGCGAACCTCTTCAGCTTCAGCTTCAGCATCATCCTCAGAGGAACTGTCTGCCTCATATGATATCTAAAAAAATATATATAAACAATTGTTTATTAAATAAACATAACCTTGTAAGCATATAAATACAATGTATACATACATTATAATTGTATAATAATTACTTAAATTATACTATAATTTAAGTAATTATCCGAAACATTCCATAAATTTCAATTATTCCAATGTGACATTTTTGGGTAGTTTAAAAAATTTAAAAATGAGAAAAATGGCTTAAAGAGGATAGTCAATGGCCTTTTGAAGAAATTTGTTCCTCAATAAAAAACATTAAATGTTAAATTAAATAAATTTTATTATTATTTTAAATAAAAACAACCTAATTTATCATCAATGATTTTCGAACTAGCCCAAGGGCAACCCAAATATTGATATAGGTAATTCATTAAAGTTTATTTAAATAAAATGCACTAACCATTAGGAAGGTCTTCCTCTTCATCCTCGCTGCTCTCAGGAATAGGTAGCGGAGGAAAATTCCAAATAATTTCTAAAAATTATTAAAATCACATGTAATGCATTCTTCTTATATCAAATAAGCTGCATAGTATACCTTCTTCATCCTCTACTGGAGCACTCTGATAGCAAAATTTGATTCTAAGAATCTTCTAAGAAGATACGACTCGGAATAATGGAATATTCTTAGAACCTTCCCTTATTGCTAAGAATGTTTTTAGGGACTTTTAAAACATTCAATAGATACCCTTTTAATTATGCAAGTAGATTAATCTACTTCTTAGAAGCTTGTTAAAACCTTCCTAAAAAGCATTCTAAGAACATTTTAAGAATACGTTTTTGGAATGTTCTCAGAAGGTTTCTTATGGAGCTTCTAGGAAGCTTTTGAGAATATTTCCAAATATTCTACATTCGTAAAATTCTTCAGGAGGCGACAAATACGCCTCACTGTCATAATATGAAAGTAAAATGTACAGTCCGTTCAGGCTAAGTTGAGCGCTTTGGTGGGGATCATATGGCCGTTGATTAAATTAAATATCGAATCGTCGCGAGATTTTGGTAATAAGAAGATGATTTATCAGTGCCGCGGCTTGTCGTTTGTTCGTACAGAGCGGCTACCGAAATACATGTATTTAATTGTGTCTGTACATAGAGATGATGAACTGGGTGACATTCCTTAGACCGCTCAACTTAGCCTGAACGGACAGTATTTGTCTTCCCCTTAAAAAAATTTGCGACATATTAATATATATTTATTTAAAAATATTAAATAAACAATTTGACCTCTGAACCATGTTGTATGACATTATTTCATAAAATGTAAAATTGGAAAATTTTGTGGGATAAGTCAGATTAGATTGAAGTTGAAGATAGTAGGATTATTATACATAAAAATGTTAATTCAGAAATAAAAAATCGGTATACAAATTAATAAATATTTATTTTTAACATAAAATAAAATACCTATAGTAAAAGTATTTTTGTTATCTAATCAGTGAGAATATTCTTAGGATTATGCTATATTTCTTTTAAGCATGTTCTTTAGAAGAAATATAGGATGATCCTAAGAATATTCTCACTGGAAGGTTTAAAAAACATTCTTGGAACATGCCTAGAAGATATATAGCATGATCCTAAGAATATTCTCACTGGAAGGTTTAAAAAACATTCTTAGAATAAACTGTGCTATCAGGGCAGGCTCTTCCTCATCTTGGATTTCAATAAAACAAGAATACAATAAATATTGTTACAATTTTTAAAAATGTATAAGTATAAACCGCATTCATGAGTCATTAATCCGATTCATATACAATATCTGTTGTATATGATCCGATTATTATAACCATTCGACTAACTGAACTCATCACTCCGATTATTTTTAATTCGAATTATATTGATAATCGGATTCCACAGGTTATTTCAATAACCGGATGATGTTATTTATAATTCGAATAATTATTATCCCACCACTAAGTAAAATAAAAGTCAGGTTAATAAAAGTAATAAGATTTTTATATGTACCTAGGATCTTCCAACAATTCTGCGAACTGTTCCGTCGTGTGGGGTATCCGCGGAATGGCCAATGCTCGGGATCTATAGATAAGATTTCTGAAATTTTGTAGAGAGCCCGATCTGGCTGCCACCAAACCTTATTTCAGCTTCTCTAAAAATTTCGGCGGAAGTGCGTTGAAGGCTCGATCCCTCAAATAGTTCCGGAATCTTAGTTCTTCGATTATTTCCAAAGGGACTTCGTGGTTATGTTCCTGACGTTGAACTGATTATTGTAAACAAAATATTATAAGAAGAACAAAATTGCTAAATAATTATTTGGTATATCTACCTAAAATATTCCCTCTTTTTATTACACGTGCAGGGCAGAATGTAGACCTGTATTCCGCACATTTAAAATAACTATTTAATAGAGATGGGAAATACCGTTCCTCTACGGTACCGTTCCAAATGATACCGCGACAAAAAAATACCGCGACAAAATACCGCGATAAAATACCCTACACCTATCGCTTGTTTAGTTTTATGACCGGCACCTTAAGTACTTCGTGTTCTTTGTTGTTCAAAGTTTTAGTAGTTCTGCATTGAAAAAACACAAAAAAGAGTTTACCAAACTCATGACAAATACTAATTCGCTCTCCCCTCACGGTTAAAATCGCGCTATTCTTTACTACAAACTTAAATGGCGACGCGAACGAAAAGTAACCGAGTGCAGGGAACAGCGACACAGCGCTCTGAAGCCCCTGCAGCGACTTGCTTCCTAGACCCTCTAGCAGTTCCAAAGTAACCGGTGCTTTCGGCGTGGAACGCAATACCGCTACAAAGTAACAGTTCCGCAGATACCGTCCCATCTCTACTATTTAAATTAATTGTACTGTCCTTAACATACATATAATTAAGGCCATCTAAATATACGCTATTTCTCGAACTGAAACCAATCATTTGTTCCATTTTGCACCCTAAAAAAAGCAAATAGAGTATTTTCACCCAATTTTTTTGCTAGTAAATTTTTAAGAACCCTAAACTCAGTAAAAATCAAATAAGATGGCAAATAGACTAATAAAAGAAGAATATTTTTGACAATTTTGATGCAAAAATAATGTATAATAAATTACCTACAATTATTTTTATAAAAACAGTTTTGTGATTTGTCCCGTCCATCCGCTTGAAATGGCCGAAAAAGTTAAATTTAAAACTTAAGACCTGAATTACTCGGTCACTTTTTCATTTGGAATTTTTTTAACATTTTTTCCTACCTATATTAAGGCCCCCCTACATGCACCTTTCGGGAAGGTCACCACTTATGACTCACCCTGTATATTATGACTCACCGTGTATTTTATATAAATTATATAAATTTAAACTCCATAAACCACAAGAAATAATAGAATAATCGATAAAAAACAATAGGTAAATATATAATTTGAAAATGGTAATATTAAACATATAAAATATTTAAAATATTAGCATACGCTTCCACAGGAAGTATGTGGGGGAAACTCACCTAAATATTCAAAACTTCTTAAATCACCCAAAACAAAAGCACATATACAAGTCACTCTTAAAAATTAAAATGAGCTTATATAAAATGCGTTTAATATTTGGGGTCGATTTGTTTATGAAAAGTATGAAAGGTCCATTTGAAGCAGTGGCGTATTTAGGATTTAGCTCCGGGGGGGGTCCAAAAGCATAGCATAGCCTATATGCTATGCTTTAATAACTAAAAAATCACAAATTAGGAACGCTTCTGATCCGATAAAATAGTAAATAAAATGAACTTTTTTTGTAATAAAAATAATAAAATATGTGCGCCCGGGGGGGGGGGTCCGGACCCGGCGGACCCCCCCCCTAAATACGCCACTGATTTGAAGTATCAAGTTACCCATGGAAATAATACTACACTGAAAGAAATGAGCTAGTTATGTAACCACTCACAATACACCCCTTTGTACCATGTGTTAGATATAAGAACATAGTAGTTAAGTTTTATAGTTTTAATGCAATAGTAATAAGCGACTTATTGCAAAATAGAATTAACCTTAGACATTAAGATATATAGACAATGTATAAATAAGGGTAAAATCCATTTTTTAGATTATTACTGTTTTGGTTGTTGTACAAGTAACATCTAGTCTGTAGAACAAAATAAATGTATTTTCAAAGTCTCAATATTGTGTTTTAAACAAATAAATAAATATTTTTTAACCAAGTTCACAACGTACGTGAGAAAGAAAATTGGCGCTGCCGACAGGATACTAGAAGATTGTTCTACCTGAGTGACCAGTTCAATCGTCTGTTTCAACAGTTCATCCAGTATACCAAAAGAAGTTTCTACAGTATTCCAAACATCCCGACAGTAATCCTGCATAAAATAGAGAAGTCGTCACCACTACGCTGAAAGTAAGTGCGTTTAACAATTTTTCTATTCCTTCCAAAATCCTTTTCTGAATAAAGTGACCGCGGAAAACTCTTACCAATTTAATTTTGGATAGGTAAATATTTACTGATAAAATATTTCACCTTAGTAATTGATGCAAACATTTTTTAGATGGAGAAATTTTGGTGATAAAAATCTCTCCTTAAATCTTAAACAATAAAACATTTAAAATCAAGATATATTATCTGAAAATTACAACAAAATATTAAGTTTCGAACGTATTTTATGACTAGTTTTAATTTTAACGAACTATCCACAGTTTTAAAAGAAATAAACACCGAAATTATTGACTCAAATCCTACTTATTCCGAAAAATCAACTGTTACTGCTATTTCTAAAAGCCCTTTTTTAAATAACATAATCAAAATGCCAAACAACACAGAAGCCCCTGTTCGCTGTAGCAAAGCCTATGCTGCAGAAAAATTCGCTCTTACCATTCCCAAGTACTCCGGTAACCCCGATACATTAGAATTCTTTATTAAAACATGTGACAATTTTCACCTTTGGACAAACAGAAGACAATACTCTTAGTAAATACGTCTTTATGATGATATTTTCTAAATTAGAACAAGAAGCCGCTAATTATATCATGTGTAGACCTGACGTAGAAACCTGGCCCCAAATAAAAGAGTTGCTTAGAATAAAATTCGGTGACCACCTTGACAGATTGACACTAATGCATGACTTTAACATCATGACAATACACAGAAATGAGAATGCTCTTGATTTCATTAATAATATTAATCAAATTAAATCCTCTCTACAAATTAAAATCAATTCTGACCCTATCTTATCTATTGAACAAAAACAATTCTATATCGAACAATCCGAACAAACTGCACTAGAAAATTTACTAGGTAATGTTGACGAAAAATTACATATCATTTTAAGAACAGAAAAACCTGCAAATCTCGAAAATGCGACTGCAATTGTTTTACGAAACAATCACTTAGATCAGAGACTCGCTAGATTTAATAAACCACACAGACCCACTCAATTTCAAAATAACAATCAAAGAGTTAACAACTCTTTTACGTCAC